TGGAATATCTGGTCATTAGAGATATTCTAAAGTGCCTGATAACATGTTAAAAAGCAGAAGTAGTGAAATAATGCATTTTGTAAATGTGTTAGAGCTCACCTGAAGTGTTATGAGGGGGCAGGGAGGCAAAGGCCCTCTGGAGTAGCACACTTTGCTCGTGCACTGGCTCTTGGAAGAGAAGGAAATGGAGTGCTGTGCTAGGGCACTACAGCAAGACAGGTTACCACGGTCCCTTAGGTCTGCGGGCTCTGTGTGCTTTGCTGTGTAGGGAAGGTATGTAAAGGTCAGATGGCACCTTTCATAACATCTAGTCTTCCTAGATGTTAAGTGGGTTGCCAGTTTTGATTAAAGTAGTTAGTAACAGACAAGTTTTGTAATAAAATTTCCAGGAGATTGTCTTCGGAAAGTGTGAGCATTTTAGCCCACTGGGTTAGTGGAGAAAGGAAGGGGTTGAGATCCACATTTTCAAGACACTTTCAATTATTGTTACATGTGTACAGTTTAACCAAGACTGTTGTGTATATAATGGACAAATCGAGTCCTTACTTGAAACATCTAGACTTACCTAAATGTTTAGAAGTGCCCAATGCATGTGAAATGTAGAGGCAGTAAAATATCACTTTGTAAATATTTTTTTGCTAAAGTTCATATGAAATACTGTGTTTTGGGATGGATTTTTTTTTTTTTTTTTTTTCCAGTTCAGGCTGCCTTAAGGGCGGGTCTGGTAAAACATCTGGAGCTGGGGACTGAACCACGGACCGCGGTATCTTATGCCGGACTGCATTTGCATAACCAGGCACTTAACCAACTGAGCTAACCAGCAGGCTCTCAATACTGTATTTTGGGAATAGAATGGTTAAACAACCTCTTGAACAATATGGTACTCTGTACTTCTTCAGTGGTTTGGAGGAGGCGGGAGGGAAGCAGTTGCAAAAGGCATTATGTTAGTGTGTTTGCACTTGGACATTTTGAGACGTCTTTTTAGTGTTCTGTGGGTTTTGTTCTGCTGTGTACATGGTGTATATAACAGACAAATCCAACGTTTATAACACCTAGTCCCTGAATGCAGGAGTTGTCAGTGTGTGACAAAGCAGTAAAGTTAGCACATGTTGTACACTTTGTGTTGAAATACACAGAACGGTTTGTCCCCTGTCAATGAGCTTTGGAGTCAACCAACTCTAGCATTATGTATGCCTGGACTTGTCCTCTGGGTTGATGCAGAACAAAGGAAATGGAGCCGAAATGGTCACACTTAGAAGATACCTCAGATTACAACTACTGCGTGTGTGTATGTGCAATTTTATTTATCAGTGCTGTACGACAGCAGGTAAATTCTTACATGAAAAATCTCGCTCTAGATATGCAGAAGTGCTTGATATATTTAAAAGTTGAAGTAACAGAGTAACACTTTGTAAATAGGTTTCATAAACTGATAGAAATACTGTGTCTGCAAATAGGATTAAACCACCCCTGAGTAGTACTTGCTCACTGGCTTGAGGGAGGTGGGGGGAAATTGTGCAAGGTGTTAAGCGTGTGGTAGAAAATTTCAGCTTATCCATTGCTCTTATGTTACATGAATTTCATTCAACTTTACTGTACATATAGCTGTATATACTGGACATTAGTCCTAATTTTATAATATCTAGTCTCTAGATATTAAAGAGGTTGCCAATGTATGACAAAAGTAGAGTTAGTAAACTAACACATTTTGTATACTTTGTGTTAAAATTCATAGAAAGCCTGTCTTCCGAAAAGGATTTTGGAAATGTAATTATAAAATCACACTTGAGGGACACATGTACCCATATCACATGTGACAAGAACTGGAAGAAATGAAGGATACTAGGCCAGAAGGCTCCTACTTAAAAGACAATTTCAGACATAACCATTGTTACATGTGTGTAGTTTATTCAACACTACTGTGTATATAGTGGACAAACTGAGTCCATATTTGAAACATCTAGTCTTTCTAGATGTTTACAAGTGCACAAAGTACGTTAAAAGTAGAGGTAATAAACAATGCATTTTTTATGCGCAGTTACCTTGTTTGTTTTTGGTCTTTTTTTTATTTTACTGTATTTTTTTGGTTGAACTGTTTTTTAGGGGAGGTTTATTTTTTGTTTTTGGTGTCAAGAACCAAACTCAGGGCTTCCAGCTTGCTAGGAAAGCATTCTACTGCTGAGC